CATCCAGCCTGGCCTTGAACACTGCCAGGGAGGGGGCAGCCACAGGTTCTCTTGGCAGCCTGTGCCAGTGTTTCACCACCCTCATGGTGAATAAGTATACTCAGTATATTTTTGTTTTAGGCTGTTTTTTTACTCGGTATAGTTTTGGTTTAGGTCGATTTATAGCCGCTTACAGATGTTTTGAGGACTTGGGAGGCTGGAGCTGCTTTTCAGGAGTTTTTTGCCTTGAAACTAAAACCAAATAATCTTTCTGTTCGCGTGTAGGGTCCCTTGCATCCTCCATTACAGCCCCAGCCACAGCCTCAGCCTCACCAGCACCATCACCAGCAGCAGCAACAGCACCATCACCAGCAGCAGCAGCAGCAACACCATCATCATCTCCAAGGGCCGCCACAGCCCTTGATGCCCATGAACCAGCCCCAGTTCAGGCCTCACATGCAAGCCACGCAACAGCAGCAGCCAAATAACAACAGGATGCAGTGTCAGCCGCGACAGGGTCCGATGAAGCCAAGGCATGTGAGTACGGCGTACATCAGTGTTGCCTTGCGTAGTTCTGCGTGGTTAACAGACGTGTAAGCGCGGGTTTCAAAACTCACCAGTGTGGTTTTTCAGTCCCATTTATTCCCTCCTGTTCTGTCCCCTTCTTTCACCATTTCTTGCTCCTTTTCTGACTTGATCATTTTATAACCTGCATCCAAAAATAGCATGTATATCTTCCCCTTTTTCTTGTCTTGTCCAATCTTCAGTGTTTTTTTTGATCTGGCTCCAATAAGCAGTGATGCAGTTGCACAAGAACTGGGGGTTTTTGGAGGATAGGTTTGCTTTTAATAAGATTTTAAGACTGCTGGTAGCCTGTGATTGTGTGGGAAACTCACAGTCTTTCAGTTTGAAGCTAATATGCTTTCTGGTTCAGACAGTGCCCCTCATGTCCTGTGAGTCTGCTCCAGTGCAGCATATTCTGTTACTGGGTAGGCTGGGGTAATACAGCAGTCTGTAGCGGGGCTCAAGACAACGTGACTGTAGTGCAGCATAATTGTTTTGATTGGGAAAAGAAGTCACACAGTGAAGCCCATTTCTGAGAAAGATGTTAAACAAGTGAGATTCAGTTTTGTTTTCAACTGAAGAAAATGAAAACCCTGTTGAAATGTTCTTATTTCTCTGATTTTTCTTCTCACACTGAAAATACCATGCCTCTTCAAAACACTTTTTTCACCAAACTTAACTAAATCATGAAAATGTGAAACAAGAAACACTTAGTCTTGTTTGTAGTGGAAGTCTGCAGTCTTGTTCCTTTCTGCTTTTCAGAATACACCATCACAAAATGTTGTCAAGCGTCCAAATCAGCAGCTACAGTCAACTGCTCCAAGAAATAGTAACTTGCGTGAGTTGCCGATAGCACCATCACATGTTATGGAAATGAGCAACAACAGGCGAACCTCTACCCCAGCTGCTCAGGTCAAACCCATTACCAGCACGATGTCTGCCACCAAGTCTGTAGCTGATCTGGGAAACTCGCAGGGAAGGCCCGAGATGAAAGCTAAAGCAATCACACCAGTGGGCCAAGCAAAATCGGAAGTGAAATCTGAGCCAGAGGTAAGGCGCTTTTAAAAAAAAAAAAAAACCAAAAAAAAAAAACCAAACCAAACCAAAAACACAGAACAAGCAACAACAAAGAAAATACTCGTGCCTTTTAAAAACTTTTCTAGTTTGACTTGTGAACTGTAAGCACGCTTTTAAGTATTATTCGCCCAGTATTTTTTGGTGCCACTAGAGGCCTCCCTTCCGAGTTGCACTTTCCTCTTTAATGTGATCGCAAAACCAGTCTCCATTGACAAAACAAGAAGTGTTGAAGGTTGACAGGGCTGTGGTGAATCTGTTTTGCAGGAGGAGGGGTCATTTCTACTGTGAAAAGACAGAGGTTGAGTAAAAGTCATCAATGATACAAGCCTCTGAAATACTCATTGTGTCCATCTTTACTTTCCGGGATTGTATCATCTTTTTTTCAGGTAATCCCATTCTTCTGAGCCAGAAAGCCTCTTCTCTTCCATTTTCTATGATGCTGTATGGCTCAAAAAAAAGGCTGTGTACAGTATTATCTTCCTCATACTGTTTTCCTTCAGGCTGCCCAGTCTCCTTTAGGGTCTTGAGCACTCGTGCAGGAAGATACAGCTGCATTGTCCATGGAGCTTCTTGCTCCTGAAGAAGGAAGTCTCTCTTTTGTGAAACCTTTTGGCATGAGGGAAAATAGGAGATGCTCTCAAATTTTCAGTTCTGGACGAAAAGGCAGTGATTGGTCTGCTAGTAATCTTTAGTACTCTGCATATTGACAAAGTAGCATGCCAGTGTTTTGGGGCTGACTAGGTCGTGCAGCGTGAACAGATGACTGTTTCCCTGCACAGATTCTCGTGGAAACTAGGGAAGACTCTCTACAAGCACTGTTAGTATGACGGGGTGGGTAGGATTGTGCTGATGGTGCTGTTGATCCTGAACATCAGGAGGGGCCAGAGGAACGTGATGGCTAAATGCACCCTGTACAATTTCTAAGTGTCAGGTTGTTCTGAGAAGAACTGTAAATCTTGATAGTTTAGTTGACTGAGTCTTGTCTCAGGGGCCAGGTTCTCTTCAACAACTGTCAGAAAGCTTTAATTGTGATAATACTGTCTTCCATTTAAGCTGCTTACGATTAGCTTTTCATCTTGTTCTTGAATTAGGGATGGTCATAACTAATATTCATAAATGAGGCACAAAAGAAACCCATAGCTAGCAGTGTTTGACTTCCTATGCACTTGCTCTTCAACGAGAATATAAGAAAAAAAACCCAACCTCTTTCAGCTTTTCAGCTTTTAATTTTGATTTTTTTTTTTTTTTTAATTACTTAATCCCCTTTCCCTCAATTCAGTCTCTTGGAATAATCTAAGTCACACAAAAACCAGTGCCTCTTAGAGAAGCCTCTGTCTTTCAGGCCATTAGTAAAGGTAAGTTTTGAAGAGCTATGCAAAGGCCTCCCCATCTGAAACACCTTATAATTCTTTCATAGTTTAGTCATATGAAATTTAAGGTATTAGTTCTGAAATATCTCTGACAGTGTTTAGAAAAATGAATGTTTTTCAGTCCTCTTAGTCAAATTAATTTAAAAAAGCAACTAACAAAGCAGTCACCTTGTTCTCTTCAAGTTTTAAACATATCCTAACAAACCTTTAATTCTAAGACTGATCTTACTCATGTGAATTCCTGATTTTACAAATAAAGCTTTCTTTTTATTTCTGTGTCAAAGCTGTTTTTGAAAACAGTTTGATACCTGTTTCATGTAAGTTTTTGCAAAACAGGATAAAAATAAAAAAGTTGCCTTGGAAAAAATGACATCTTCTAGTGTTTCCTGTTATTAACCATAAAAGTAAAGCCTTTGTAGATACCCTTGGCAAGTACTAGAAAAGTGTGTGAATATTGTGCATGCACAGAACCCTGCTCCTTTCAAAGCGGATTTGAAGTAGGGCCTAGTGCTGCCAGCAGCACTGTGGTAGCAGTTGTCCCTTTTCAGCTGTGTTGCTGCGTTGGTCTTGTTCACTGATGCCGCTTGTTTGCACTTCTGCAAGCAGGATTGCTGCACTAGTAATGTTCATTTCCAAACACTTAATCGTGTTCTTCACTGTTGTTGTAATGTAGATTATTACATCTCTCTCCTTAGGCAGATTGTAATGTTTTCCAGTCTTTTTTGTGTGTTTTTCTTGTAAGTACCTAACTTTGTCCTGTTCTTTTGCTTACTGTGAAGATGAGAGAGAGTTAAGTTCTGTCATCTTTTCTAGCTGTGCTGCTCATAACTGAATTGGGCAGGTTATTTTGCAAGTGTCTTCCACTGGAAAATTATTAAGACTTTTCTTTGCATCCTTCTTCCTGAAGAGTCAGTGGCCACATTTATGAATGCCCTATCATTCAGGAAGCACCTAAAAAATAGAAATATTGACTATTAAAGGTTTTGCTCACCTTCAAAATAGATATTTGAAAGGCTTTCAACCTGAGTGACTGGAAGATTAAAAAGTATATTTTGACTTTACTATTAGTATGCTTGTGTTCCCGTTCCGATGAGGCTGCAAAATACTGTCTTTAAATGCCTTCTTTAGAATAGCTGTTGCTCTCCAAGATTTAAACTTGTGTATCCTCAGTCTAAAAAATCATTTTGTCATTGAAATTGGGAAGTATGGGTGATGACTGTGGGCATAATTCTGTTCTTGTTGGAGGCTAGTTTGGAAGAAGGTGTGAATTAAGGCAGTATTAAACATTTTTTATTTTACAGGAGGGGAATGTGGGCATGTGATGTGAATCTCTTTATAAGAAATGGGTATTGGAACTCAGAACAGGAGAGAAATTAGTAGAGCACTGCATGATCATAGATATTCTGGTATTACTACTTACGTTGCAGTTAATGTCCCTGATCTACTGAAAGAAAACCCTTGACATTCCATTCTCCCAAATCAGTAAATTTTAAAGTGGGTTGTTGGATTTTATGTTTCCGTCTTTCTTCAGTAAGGCTTGCAATATGGAAAATAGTTGCTACGCTATTGGAACAAAGGTATCTAAATCTTTTCGTGTTTTTGGAAATTAGCTGAAAGATTGTACGTGTCTAAATTTGAGTTTTCTCCAGTATAAATAAGTTTTATTTCCAAATTTTGATAATGGTGCCTCCTGTCTTGTGCTTAGAGAAGATTCTTCTTGCCACAGCCTCTTTTGGGTTGGAAGATCGCAAGAGGGCACTGTGCTTCAGAGTAACGTGTAGCCTTGCTCTTAATGCTCTACCCGTTTGTCTAAGATGTACAGCCCCTGCGTGTTGTAGGGTGACTTGTCCTGTCCTAGGGTTCAAGAGCTGAGCTCATCAGTAGTGTGGAATGTGTCATGTGTATGTAGGTGTCTTCAGGATACTTCGTGGTTTTGAACACAAGCAGACAAATGATGTTGTTTGGGTCTGGCCTTACCCTTTATGAAGGCTTGTCACGAATTTTTGGACAAATTATTCTAGCCTCTTTTGTTTCTAGTGTTACAACTGTAAAAACAAAGATAAGCCTGCTGAATAGATTTGTGTGTGTGCCACAGATCAAACCATTTTGACTGCTCTGTTCTTACAGCCGTTCTAGTGAGGGACACAAGTGACCTTGGTTATGTGATTCCTTTGTTGTCACTTGATAGCAAGCCAGAACACTTCTAGTATCTGCTTTTAGGACTCTGCATTTAGTTCTATTAATTTGTAATAAAGACCTCTAAAAAGGTCTGGTTTTGTGTGTGGGGTTTTTTTTGCTTTTTTTACTGTATGAGAAACAAGCTACTGATACTGGGACTTAGTAGAAAACTTAATCCCTTGTTTTAGAGTATGTCTTTGCTGCTTTTCCTTGATCACCAGTGCCATTCTAAGGTCTCCTGGAGAATGATGTGGGACAGCTGCTTCTCCTACTGCTGCTCTTCAGTTAGACTCGGAAAAGCAGCCTGTGACATTTTCTTTTGGTACTTACCATCAAAGCCTCTTTGGCCCTTAAGGCAGAAGAAAACTTATAGTTAAGGCTTGGATTTCTCTTCAGACTGTAATGAAACATGAGGAAGAACTTCTTCCCTCTGAGGGTGACGGAGCACTGGAACAGGCTGCCCAGGGAGGTTGTGGAGTCTCCTTCTCTGGAGATATTCAAGACCCGCCTGGACAAGGTCCTGTGCAGCCTGCTGTAGGTGACCCTGCTTCGGCAGGGGGGTTGGACTGGATGACCCACAGAGGTCCCTTCCAACCCCGACCATTCTGTGATTCAGTGATTCTGTGAAATACAATGTGTTCATGAACTGTTCAAAAGCAAATTAGAATCTTCACCAAACCAACAAACAAAACCACCCCTAAAAAAAACTTCTGAACAACAACAAAAAAGGCCAAACAAAACCAACTCATCACAAAACCCAACAAAACAAACCTCCACAAAACCAAGGGAACTGCTTTTCATCTCTGGCCTTGTACTCTGTAGCCTCCTGTAAAAGAAGGATCTGTATACAATATAAGGTTCTTTCGTGTTGTGGAGTTTTCTGCAGAAAAAGGTGGTCAGGAGTTTATCTAGGAAGAAGGCTGCTTCAAGTTGTTCTGCTTCTTCACTTACAGATAATGTTGCTTTTAGCAGGAAACTTCCAAACACAACGTGTAAACCTTACGACGTCTTTGAAGGATGTCTACTTTCTCACAGTTACTTTCGTCTTTTTTTTTTTTTTTTTTTTTTGGCAGTGCTACTGCTTGTTGGAGAAATCTGTCCTGGGCTTATTCAACTAATGGGGTGAAAATCGTTAGCAATAGGCGTTGCCTACTGTCTCCAGCTTGACCCAATGTACTGTCTTGCCTGTTCTCTGTGATGAAGCTCCTTATTATATATTATAGGTCACATATATATTATATGTCTCTTACATATATCCACACATGCTCTGTAGTGTAGTATATGTAAGGTGCTCTGAAAGCTAAGCAGCGGAGGTTTAACAGCCTGTTAACTGATTTAACTGTTTTCAACCTAGTGAGGGGTTTGCCCATTCTGAATCTGTACTGTTGGGTCATTGCACAACTAATTCCAATTAAACCCGACTCCTAATTCGAGTGTTTTATTAATGATCACGGGGTCTTCATGCTGTTTGGTCTTACTCTAGCTGCAAGGGTATTTTACTGAGAACTTAACAGTAGTAGTGACTCGCTTACGAAGACGAGGGACTTAGGTCTACCTATAGCCTGTTAACAAACTGATCTGCAGTTGTCATATAACCTGAGAGCTCACGACCCTTGGTTTCAAAGCTTACACTTCAAAAAGGAGTTGACTTCATAGGATCCATACTGATTTCCGAAATACTGAGTTAAGTTCCTGAGAGGAAAATGTCAGTTTATATTTGAGATCACGTTGCCTGAAGATTCTACTAATCGTTCATCAAACAGCTTCATCTGTGTTGGTAGTAACAGTTTGTCAGTTGTCTTCTGTGTTTAATGCTAGTGTAGTTGAAATGAGTGTATCTGTCTGTACTGCATGGACGTATTGGTCAGAGTCCCTCGGGATGTTCATTGCTTGTCTGCTGGCAAGACCCATTTAAGAGTGCCACAATGTACACATCTCTGTGCTGCTGTATGTAGCCTTTGAGTTAGTGTTTTGTGTGTACTATATTGTGATCTACATCTTCCAAGGCCTTCAGAACTGGATAGATGGTAATATGACCAGACAAGTCCCTGATAATAAAGGACAACTGATAGGAGGGCTGGTTTCATGCAGATTCTTGCTGGTATTGACACCCTTAGTTGAACATTTAAAAAAAATATACTGCACTACCTCCAAAGGTAACTTTGGTACTGGCTCGCTGGCATCCATCAAACCTGTTTAGATAAAATATAGGATATTCTGATCTAAAGCAAAGGAAGTAAATAAGCTAATTTATTAGGTTAAGTGGAAGAGGATTTCTGTTTAGGCAGTTTCAAGAACCGAGATATTTACTGTCTCTGAAAGTGACTGAACATTTTATCCATAGCGCCAGGATCTGCATGACAGCATATCCTCCTTCTGTCTGGAGCTTACCTGTATTTTGTTATCCTATGCAAACTACACTTAAGGGTCTTGTCCTTTCACTGTGTTTTGTAAGGGCTGTTTTTTTTTAACTACAGTACAGCATCTCCAGTTTTCGATATAAGATAAAATATTTGAGTTTGTTCCCACTCCTCATTTTACTTTGTAGAAGTACATTCCTGTTACAGTCAATCGACAAAGACGTGTAATCTAGTTGTTGTAGTGAGTAGTCATAGTTACCACCACTGTCATCTGAAAAGTATAAAGGAAGATCAGAACCTTTTGCTATATAATCCATGCTCCTAAAAAGGACAGTGTTAGACCTCATCCCCAAACTATAGCCCATATTTTAAAAAAATAATAATAAAAAAAAATCCACTTCTGTTGAAGTCCGATTTTGGGCATTGTTTAGGCTGGACTTCATGTGAGACGTGCACCTATTTCTTAGCCACTGTGAGAATAATCCCTACCATTAAATGCTCAGGGAAGGAGCAGTTACATCTGAAGGAAAGAAGTGTTCAGGACTTGTGCATCTGGATTCTAGGAGTACGACTCTACTGGGCTGTTGTATCTGTGAACCGACTTTATAGTTGGATCTGTTCTGTTTTGTGGTTGGTTTTTATTTTTTTTTCCCTTGGGTTGGGAAGGGTTCTAGGATGTACCAGGAATAAAAGCACTTGGGTTAAAAAAAAAAACAAACACCCACCCCACATGTGAATCTGTTGTTGCATGCTTGTGTTTTTATGTGTGCAAAAAATGGCATTTGTGTTGACAGGAGTTTGCACCCTGTTACTGCAAGGTACGGGATTCATGGATTCATGGTTTTTGAGCCATGTCTTGGCATGCTTTATGCTGTAATTTGCTAACATGCAAAGTATTGTTATTTTGAGAGCCTGTTTTTGTTAGGGGTGATTTATGTATTTTGAGTAGAATGTTGTGTTCATTACCATTTGTAAGCAGTAATAAGCAGTCTCTACAAGTCTCTAACTTAATATTTCAAATAGTTGAAAAGAAAAAAAGAATATAGTGAAAAAATATGCTTTCTAATTTTGAAAAATGCATGTGCTTGTATCACAAGAGCAATTTGATTTCTTTTCCAGGGTGATGGGAATATGCATTTCCTTGGCTCTTGTCCATTTTTATACAGCTTTTCATAAGAACCCACTGTGCCAAAGTTGAGGAATCTTTAGAAAGGTTATTTGATGGCTGTAATACTTTCAGAAGCCCCCAGGGCTGGAATATTAAAGGCGTTCTCTGTATACCATTAATATTCCAATACTGCATTTGGCAACATTTTGATTCCGAAGAGGGTGCACGAGTTCAAGGTCAGAGAGATTGACTTGTGCTGTTCATTATAACCAATTATTGTGTGACAAATGAGTTTGAGATCAGGCTGAAAATTCTGTGAGAAAAATCAATAGTTCTAATCAGGGCCTTTCAGGTCATTTACCACCCTACCTTTTGTTACTTTGTCAGAAAAGAGCAAGATAAAACCTGTGTGACAGTGGGTTGCCTCTGTATTGTTACTTTCCATTTGAAACATATTTTGATATCTTGAATTATATTAATAGTTTAATTGGTTTTAGAAACTTCTAAATGAGTTCCAATTTCTAAAACTTTTTTTTTTTTTTTTTTTTTAGTATTCTGATAGGATTTCTCAACTGGTATTATAGCTCTTTTTTTTTTCCTGTCTAGGAAGTAGTATATCTAAGTTCTAAACCAGATTTGAGCTGTTTGTCTGTAATGAATAGCAAATAAACCTTACCAGCAGATACACTCCACTAATAGCCTTAGTTTGGTGTCAGGGGTAATTTAAAAAGCTCTGCAGAGGGTTATAGCTCTACGATATCTGAAACAACAATTTAATGTTGTTTTGACCAAGCTGGGCATTTGTTGAGAATTTTGTAAATTCGTTTGTGTTTTCCTTTGTAGTATCCAGACGAAGATGAAGAAACTAGATTGTATCGTTTGAAGATAGAAGAGCAGAAGCGTCTAAGAGAAGAAATTCTGAAACAAAAGGAGCTGAGACGGCAGCAGCAGGCTGGTGCTTGGAAGAGAGAATTGCTTGAAAGACTTGCACAGCAGCAGCAGCAGCAGCAACCACCACCTTCTACGCACCAGTCCTACATGCAGCAGGAGGACGACTCCTCTGAGTACCCCACCAACGGCAGCCCTTACATACCCCACTCGGGCTTGCAGACCAGGCAAAATGTGAAAAACAGACTCCTTGTTAAAAAGCAAGATACGGTCGTTCCAAATCTCCAACCCAAACCCACAGATTTCCCACAGGTCGGGGCGAATATGCAGTATCAAGGACAGCAGATGAAGCCGGTGAAGCAGCTAAGGCAGACTAGAGCGGTACCTCCGAGTCACCCTCAGGCACCGCAGAAAGTATTACAGACAAAACCTGCTGCGGCATCGCTGCCCGCGACACAGACTGCTCGAGTGGCGTCGGTACAAGCAAGGCCCCAGGAGCTGAAGCCTGGCGTGAAAAGGACTGTCATGCAGCGGACAAACAGTGGTAGTGGAGATGGGCCCCATGTCGGCAGCAAAGTCAGGGTGATTAAGTTGTCAGGAGGGGTAAGTTTCCAAGGCTCATCTCGTGTGTCTGTGTTGTCGTGCTTTGGTTATGTGTGTCTCATTCTGTGTAATCCCAAAATAAAAAATGGACCTAAGCTGACAGGGGAAGTAGCAGGTTTAGCAGACCTAATAGTCCATATTTTATATTTTCAGAACTGTAAGTTATTAGCAGTTATTCAGAAATTAACATTTCCTGTAATGCTTTACTGCCAGCCAGTTATCACTTAAATCACACTGAAATAATACTCCTTTCTTTTAAGTTGCAACTTGAGCCTGAAAGACTCCTCAACTGAGCTCCTTTTGCTTAAGTTTAATTGGTCTGATAATTGATCAGAGAAAAGGATTTGGATGACTATTTTTAAGGTTCGGTTAAAAAAAGCTGGGCTCTGCTTATTTGGTAGTTGAAACCACCTAATTCAGTTGTGTGCAGATGCTGGTGTTAGTGTGGTTTCTGTACTCAAGGGAAGATTGTTTTTATTTTCTTGGGAAGTGTGTCGTGAAACTAATTTAAGCAGTATATTGGAGAGGGAGGTTTTCTGTTAGAGGCTGGGTTTCAGATGTGACTATTTCACTTCTGCATCTAAATGAGATTTCCTTATCTTTTGATGAGGGGTCTATTATCTGCAGAGTGTCCCTTGAGCACCAGTGTTGTGGAGGACTCACAATGCTGGTCTTGATGGCAGTGTGCATATTTAAGATCTGGGGCTTTGGTCTGAAAGTATCTTGACCAAATTTCTTCTGTCTTAATGAAAAGACAAGTTAATTTGTTAGGGCTCTGAAGAACCAGATGATGGGACACAGCGAGATCATGTGGTCAGGATGAAATCTGTCCTTGGGTTTATGCTGAGGAAGAAGGACGGGTGTGATGTGGTTTAATGCTGTGGTACATTGGAGATTTTTTTTGGAAGAATGCTTCTTAAATTATTCAGAGCATTAATTAGGGAAACTTGCAGAAATGCTGTAAGTCTAATGAAGTGAATGGTGTGTTAACAGGGACTGAACAAGACCTTGGAGGCTAGGCTTTATGCTGTAGAAATGGGGAGGAAGTCCAAACGTCAAAGTCTCAACTACTTTTTATAAATATTTTTTCTACAGCTCAAGAAACTTTACACTTAAAAATGTGAACTGCATAATGACCATGTGGTCTTTCACAATATTAACATAAAGGGCCTTATTGACTGCATAGAGCTGACAACAGCCTGACGATGTCTAATTCCTCAGACAGGATAACTTAAGTACAGGAGAATAAAGCACAAGAAGTTGAAAGAAATTGATTCTTTTGGGCTAAAAATATTTATATATAAATATGTTTGCAGGAATCCCAGTGGCCTGCAAAAGGTACGACGGGTTTGTTATTCATGAATAACTGAATAAAGCAGTCATGCACAACTTCTTTTATTATGTGGTGAAACAAAACAATGCCAGTCACCACTGTGTACAGCTCTTTGTAACAAATGGTTCTTAGTGCCCGCAGTAGCATTCACAATGAAATAGTTTTCATCATAATGCTCTGTTTCAGAAAACTGTAAATTATTTGTTTCAGATAAGTCTCATGGTAAGAAAGAGCAATTAGCTTCATCAAATGCATGTGTGACCCCTCTTTTGTTGTATACAGAAGCAGATTTGCTCTGTCCTTAACTTTCAGATGCCAAGGTTTTAGCGAGGTAAAGTAGGTTCTGTACATGTAGCCTTCGTTACTTTTTTCATATTGCCATGGACATTTTAAGTTTTTCTTCCAACTGTGGTAGAATAAAAGCAAGCATTGCAATTAGCTCTTTAACACAGTCCAGGATAGTTAATTAATTTTTAATCAGTTAGTAACAAGATTGAATCTATGACTTTGTTTCTTTGACCACACAAGGAAAAAGAAAAAAATGAGCAGCGGTGGGGGGGGGCAATCTTGTCTATTTTGACAGGATTTTAAAGAAGAATTAAAAGCTGCTTGAACTCTGAATACTGTAAAGATCACAGATCACACTTGTTTTCTACTTCTAGTGTTTAGTCCTGCCATATGCTTGCTTTTTTTTCACACCTTTTGCCTCTACCCTAAGGGTAAAGCAAAAGCCAAATCTCATTTTTCCTAGCTATTCTCCTTAGCATGTAATAGTGCTTCCGCTAATTCCCTGTCTTTGGCCAAAGGTGCCTGGTATCTCTTGTCTGTATGCACTGACCTGATCCTGCAGTTACGCAGCCCTGCAGTCTCTCCATCTAATCACTTGTACCCCTTTCCCTTTCTAGTGCTCTTTTGTGCAGAGATGGTTTGAATACCCGTGTGTGAGTGAGATGGCTTGCGATTAGACACAATGCAGGTTCCTTTTTGAAGCTCTCTTGATTCATGTTGGCAAAGACTTGGAAAGTCTCTTTCAGCCTGCCAGCCATGGTACAGCACGATAGCAGAGCTGTCAGTTGAAGAAGCTGATTGAGGCCAGACCTGTACTGACTTTATCTAGACCCAGTTGGCCTAAAACAGGAGCTGGTAGCAAGGACTTATAAATTTAGTAGGACCATCTGTAGAACCAGTGTTAAATGGTGGTGTGTTGCTGGTGATGTTTTTTGTTGAACAGTTAAGATGTACTTGGTGTATTGGTGTGATTTAGTGTACAGATACTGTCAGAAGAGAATGGTTTCTTCTCTTGAGGACAGTGTCTTTCCCAGTCTAAGCTTCTGACTATGTTTATTTGTGTTGCTGCGCACTTTTGTGCTACTGAAGATCCCTGACCTCTAGGTTGAAGTGTCCCTTCTTACTTAAGAAGGTAAAACGGCCTTTCATCTGTTTCCAGATGTTCTCTCTTCAGAGTATTTTGCTTCTTCAGTATTTTTATGGAACTATAAGATACTAGTTAAATTCCAAGAAATATTTTAATTTGCCCAGTTTACTTGATGTATAAGATGCCTTAATTTAAGATTTCTTATACTTAAAGAAAAGGAAAGTAGTAAATGATTCAGCATTTCCTGTATGTCAGACTAAGTCTACATATCAAGGTCACACGTTAGGTACTGTCTTTAATGATTTTGTCTGTTGGTGCTCTTTTTTTAAACAAATCCTGCCCCCTACCTCCCCCCTCAGTAGTGATGTGCCTATCCCTTTATAATATTCCTGTAATTTATGCAGGAATGGCAGTATAGTGAAGAGTTTTCCATTATAATTGCTCCTTTAAAAGTTAGGTTCCTGGAAAATGAGGCAGTGCATATTGTTTAGCAGATGAACTTTGATTTTTGGTTTTTTTTTAATGGAGGCCCAAATATCTTTTGATGGATCCAGCATGCTTTACGGTTTGTGGCATGTCTTCAGAGCTGACCTTTCCAGATATAGGAGGTCAGTGTATTTGCTGAGTATTCAGGCTAGTATATTTTACTAAGGAAACATCTGAGATTTGCCTGGCTTAGTGAGGAGCCTGAAGTCAATCCTAAAGATACTCATAAGAATAAACTCAGTGAGATTGTAGAGTGTTTGTTGGGAAGAAGTACCCTAATAAATCACTTTAAAATGTGATGATAAAATTATTAAAAATCGAGGTGAAAGGACCCTAGAAATAATTTATTCTGTGTTGAAGGAGGGATGAACTTTGTAGCATTCCTGACAGATTCGTCCAACCTTTTTCTGAGATCTCATTATTGGAGATTTCTTTGGCCATCTATTTCAGTGTCTAACGTATGCATTTAGGAGAATTTTCTTGGTGACCAAACCACATTTTCTTGCTGCAGTTTTGAACCTCTGACTCTCTGTATTATACTTCGAGAGATGGTAAAGAATTTATATGCGACTTTGTGGCTGTCTCTCTTTTTAAAGATCTCGTAACTGTTTCTGAACACTAATCTCCTTCACTCCCTCTTGACGGAGCATGTTTTCTAACACCTTGGCTGTTTGTGGTGGTCTTCCTTGGGCTCTGTGATCAGTCTGTTGGTAAATAGTTCCAGTACCAAGTGCAACTGAATGCCTTAAGCCACTGTATTAGAAGTGACCTTAGTCCTGGAAGAACAGGTTTGTTCCAGCTCCAACCTTAAATATCTTAGGGTCGTATCAAATATGTGCTGAACATGTGTTTCATTTAGTTGGAGGTTCTGTGGGAAATGGTAGTAGCTTAAAGTCTCTGTATCATTCAGTCATCTTACATTGTTGTTGGGTGGTTTCTCTCTAGCCAGAAAATGTCCTGCCATGCTCAAAGAGATCTGTGTCTGTCCCAAAGGCCTGAAAATACTGGTTCTTATGCTGCACCAAGAACACACCAGTCTTTGTCTCTATGGAAAGCTGCACAATGAGCTTTTTTCATAAATACATATAAATAAAAATACATTAAAATCACAGCGTTCCCTGTTGGACTAGAAGCAGTATCTTATTAGTGATCATAATTCCTGAAAACCTGAGATGATGCTTCATCTGAAAAGCTTGAAGAAAGATTTGGCAAGTTCTTTTGTTCGAAAAGCCTGCCACAAAAATGTCCTCGGATTGTAAAAAGAAAAAGAGAATTGGAATGGAAGATAGACAACTTTATTCATATTTAGAGTATCTGAGAAGTGTAAGAGATGAATATGGAGTTCTAAATATGGAAAAATACTCTGAGATGATTATTGCTTGATAATGTAACCTTATCAACCAACTTGGCTTAATGTTTGTACTTGTTTCTACTTGCATGTGTATTTTCAAGCTTAATTAAAAATATTTGACTTGAAAGCTCTATAGCGCCTTTTATCTAAATATGTCAGGAATTATAAACACTAAGATTTCTGGTATTTGCATGACAAGTTCTTGAGGGAGCCCTTCACCCAGCTCTGCAGTGCTGCCAGCTGCGAGAAACAACAGAGGAACTCTCGCTGCACACCATAGTCCTGCTTTTTAAGAAGCAGGAGAACAGCTTTGTGGTTTATTCGTATCCCTCTCTTTGAAGGAGGTATGGATAACGTCCGTATTCTGTCAGCAGTGGGCTGAAGGAGCTGTGGAAACCGTGGTGGTATCTGAATGAATACCTGGATACCATGGTTGTCAAAATGGGCCAGACCTT